TACGCGGGCAACCGAAGGTAGACAAGAGCTGCTGCGCCAACAAAAGTAAAGTACTTGCACCACAGCGGCCTCTTCTTCACTGTCCACACACTAATATTCGCCAGGTAATTGGCCTAAGCAGTCAAGGTCTGACGACTTAGCTTGTCAAGATGTGTTTACTACCTTGATAATGTATCAAATATCGCTCAAATTGACCAAGAAAAGGTACGAATACAAGAAAGAATACAAAGAAATATACACTCGCTATCTGCCCTATCAGTATATAAGGATCTTCAACTGCTTGCTGTCCAATCCATACCAAAATAATACAATCTGCAACTAATAACCAAAACAGTTTTTTATATATAGGTCTAAAGGTAGAGCTTCTTGTTTGTGATGTATTGATAAAAGGCAAAGCAAGAAGGCATACAAAGACTAAAGCAATAGCTGCAACCCCACCTAATTTGTTTGGGATACTGCGTTTTATAGCATAAACCCATAAAAAGTACCATTCTGGAACAATATGAGCAGGGGTTGACATTGGGTTGGCCGGTATATAATTGTCAGGATGACCTAATGCATTTGGATAGAAATAAACAAATATCGAGAAAAATATAGCAAGACCCAACCCACTAAATCTTTAAGGTAGAAATAAGGAGAAAAAGGAATTTTGTCTACCGAAGAATTAGTTCCCAATGGGTTGTTGGACCCGTATTGGTGTAGAGCCGCGATGTGTACAATACTGCTCCCTGCTATCAAAAAAGGTAAAAGGTAATGCAAGCTATAAAATCGGTTGAGTGTGGCATTGTCTACTGAGAAACCGCCCCACAACCATGTAACAACACTGTCTCCTACCACAGGTATTGCACTAGCTAAACTTGTAATAACAGTAGCGCCCCAGAAACTCATTTGCTAATCTCTGCATCCTGCTGTGCTTGTGTTGCGATTGAAGGCTCAATTTGGGGGCAACGGTCCTTAGTCCCTTGAACATGGCGTCAAGATTTCCTTGCGAGCTTCGGTGACTATGCCTTTGTGAACCATTATAACGAAGATGGCGTGAAGGATACCAGGGGCTTCATCTTCTTCTTGAATGACTACTACATCGGAGGCTTCTGCTGCCTTGATGGCCTTCTTTATGTCTTCTAGCTTTATTTGACTCTTCTGAATCAGGGCCTTGATAATATCTTTTAGGGTGTAGCAGTCATCTATTGGATGATTGATCCTTCTATGATAAGCATAATAATTCGCCTGAGTGTCAAGGCTAGCTTGCTCAGGGAACTTGGCTTCTAGAAGCTGAATCATATTTTGTTGCAATAATAACCGGAATAATGCAGGGACCCATTCCTTCTCAAAGGGTTAGACCTTGTTTTGATGCCTAGTGAAATAATAATCTCGATTAAGATTCACCGGCGGGGGAACTCGATTGTATAGTTGTTGTTGCTTGCCTGCCTGAGACGTTGTCTTTGTTGTGCTCACCCCTATGGAGAGGTCCAAAGTTTGGGAGGGAGCCTTCTTTGGATCAGTGACCGTGACGACTGCACTTTTTGCTCCTTTCTATTGGCTGCCCTGTGTGTTGTTCCGAGAGCTACCATTGCCCCGATTGTTCCCAGAGCTTGCAGGCTATTGTCATGACCCGCCGTGGTGGCGTGATAGACTTTCTATGCAGTCTGATTTAGAGATTAACTCTGACATGGAAGTTGGATTAGAGGCCTCAACTTGTAAAGCAATTTCAGGTCATATGTTGCGCACACAAGTTTGGACTGCTTCCTTCTCAGGCATAGGATTGGGATGGCGAGCGGCCAAATTTCTCCGTCTTAATATGAACTGGTCCACAGGCTCATCGGGATCTTGAGTCAGGGTGACAAGCTCAATATTTTGGACCTCTCTCTCAACCTCATAGAAGCGCTGATAGAACAATGTCTCCATCTCTTCCCATGTATGTACTGAGTTTGGAGGGAGTCGAGCATACCATTGAAAAGTTGGGCCGTCAAGGGTTTCAACAAATTGACGAAGAAGGAGTCTCCCATCAGCGATTGTTTCTCGCCACGCTGCTTGGAAGTGGGCAATATGCTGGTATGGGGACATGGTTCTGTTGAATAGAGGAAACTTCCCTTTCTTGTAATACGAGGGAAACGGGATCTGGTCGATATATGAAGGATATAGCATTTGATAAGGCGTCGCACCCTGTATCCCCAAGATTTGTCTGTTCTTTAGGCTATGGGTCACCATAGCATCAATGTCTGCCTAAGAGACAGGGTGAGGGACAAAATTGTCCTGTGAGGGAGAGGGTGGGGACTACCTTGGAGGTGCACCATCTAAGTGATGGGAACTGACCTCATGGTTAGCTGATTGGCGTTTGGTGTCTATAAGATTGATCTTTTCCATCATAGCGCGCACCATATCTTCGAATTTGTTCATGTGCTCTTCCTATGCGTCGTCAGGCTCTCTTACGACAATTATGTTGACTGTTTCTCTATGGAGGTCAGCGTCAGTTACAGTTGAGTGCTTACGAACTTGACGGGTTGCACGTAGTCGATGGGTCAGTAGAGGCCAGCGTGCCCGGACTGGACTCAAGTTTTATGTCGATCGTGTGAGGATCGGTTCTTGAGGGTGCTGGGACTGTGGCTGCTGAGTGGCTAAGTCATCTTCTACGACACTAACCATAGTGCAGGGCTCATGGTCTTCTTCTTCAGGCTTCATCATCTGAAGAGGTTAAAAGGAATTCAAGTGGCGAGGGTTATCAGAGTTGGTTGCCTCGACTACCTTGATCACTTCCTCAGTCAAAATTTGCAGACCTCTATCATGCTTAGCTTTGAGGCTTTGATGGACCTCGCGTTAAAACTATGATCGAGACTGTGGCTGGTTAGCTCTTCTTGCATTAGTGACTGCTGTCTCCATCAGGTGTGGCAAAGGATGAGGACCAGGGACTGACGTCATCTTCGAACGAGGAGGATGACGAAATCGTTCTTCCATCAGTTCATTGCCCCGAGCTCTCAAGTGGACTTCAGAGACATGACCAAAATGACGAGGCTGGTTCACGATGGTACTCTTGGGGAAGGTTTTCGATTACCAAGGCTAAAGATGTTTTCTCGAAGAAGTAGGAGTAGGCAGGAGCAAGGTTGACTCATGAGGATGTATGAGTCGAGGGCGAGGAGATGTCTATGCCTGCGACAAGGATCACGGGGGAGCTGAGGGTCAGCCCGGGCTCGAGCAAGTGATCTAGCCTTAAGAGGTCGAGAATTGCGAGCAGGTGTCTATAAGAGAATAGGTGGAGACTTGCCCCTTACAAGGTGCACTTGTGTGTGCTAAGTAGGAGGACAAGGAGGTTGTCCCCTTTGTACTCAGGTTAGCGTAATGATGACATTGCACCGAGTGGTGGCATACATATGAGTAGCATGTTCAGGACCTGGCCTTGGGAGGTCTGATTCTGGACACGGACTCGAGGTAACATAAGAGTTGCCCCAAGGTGTGGCTCAGGTTGGTGACCCACGAGCCTTATGGTGTGTGTGAGACATGGAGGCAACAGGGCCTCTGCCTCTATGTGTCGAGCCTATAGGAATAGGGACTCATGGGGGTGCAGGAATGTGGGGGGAAGCCTTGTGGCGACCCACAAAAGCAATGGAAAATTGCTTGCCTTCAGTAGAGAGGGACTGGGCAGCCTTTCGGCATACCTTGGCAGTACGACCGATAAGTGACTTTCCTGTGGCTGGGTGCCAGCTGTGTGTGACGACATATGTGCTGCCAATGCAGGGTGCCTTGGTGAAGGTTCCAACAGAGCGAGGAGATGCAGAGTGAGGGACCTTCAAGGCCCTCCTCATACCGATCTAGGTTAAGACCTGAGAGGTAGACAAGTGGTCTTCGCTCAAAAAGATGGTTGGGAATGAAGTTGAAGGAGCTTGTTCCCTAGGGACACTCACGATTGAGGGGATGAGAAAATACCCAATCCGAATGAATGGGTCATAAAACTCGCAAGCCATAAGTGATGTGTGAATACATAAAATAAAACGCAGAAACTAGCTAAACAAGTATGATCCAACTATTGGGTAGTAAGTCCCCAGTGGAGTCGCCTTACTGGTTAGGTGCCTCGATCTCACCTTCCAGTTCTGGATGATCGGGTGGCATGCATCTTGGGTTTCAGGGGAGACCTAGGACTTTTGAGATCACTATCTCGGGAACCTTGTTCGAAAACAAGGGCAGGTATTACCAACAGATGAGAGAGGAATTTAAGGTGGGTTCGGGACTTACTCGGTCTGGCTCACGTGGGCACCCTCTTAGATCACGAAGAAAGCCTCCCAGTCATAAAACTAGTTCGGTATCGCCTCCCTTGGCTTGTATTCTCCTTTTTTTTGCAATCACACATATATAGAATATGCATGGCAACACTTTGAAGAGGGAACACGCTTGGCAGCATGGGTGACACTGGGAGTCGAAACGCGCACGACAAAAAAATACGCACGGCAGCACTTTGAAGGGGAAACGTGCTTGGTAGCATGGGTGAGGGGCACGCTCAGCGGTATGCAAGCAGCGATGCGCTCGGCGGCATGCTCTAGGTGGTCTGGATAGAAAGACTCGCGCGACGACCTTTCAACGCGATACATACGATGGCACTATCTTAAGAGACACACACGACATTATGGAAAGTCGTGCCAGTAAGAATGTGCAAACAGCGGTGAGGTACTGGATCATGTGCAGTTCTAGCAGCAGTCGAAGCAGTGCAAGAGTCCACTCCTTGTCGAAGTGGTAAACCTTATTTTAGTGCTGGATCAAGAAGTCACTTCGACTAGCATTTTTAGGAGGTAAGACCTGATTGTAGGACTGTTGTTTGCTCCCGGCCTGAGGGATTTGTACCTCGGAGGTCTCCAAGGTTTGAGGGACAACATTCTTTATGTTAGTCATCACCGCCTTTTGCTGGTTGCCCCGACAGTTGGAGCGAGAATTTTCACCAGAGGGTTGCTGACGAGATCCTCCATGGTTCTTGGACAGAACCTCTATACGAACTATTTTAGAGATGAGCTCTGAAATGGAGGGCGAATTGGAGGCCTCGACATGCAGGGCAATCTCGGGAAGCATGTTCCGTTCACAGGTCTTGACAACTTCTTTTTCGGTCATGGGGGTCGCATGAAAGGTTGTCAGCTCTCTCTATCGAGTGATGAACTTGTCAACCGGCTCACCAGGGTCTTGAGTCAGAGTAAGGAGCTCGATAGTCTCTACGTTCCATTAGACTTTGTATAAGCGCTTGTAGAATAACTGCTCCATTTTCTGTCAAGTGTGCACCGATTTGAAGGTAGTCGAGCATACCACTGGAGGGCTAGCCCTTCGCGAGTCTCGACGAACTGACAGAGGAGGAGTTGCCCGTCAGTCGCTATCTCTTGACAGGTCCCTTGAAAGTGGGCGGTACGCTGGTGAGGAGAAGTAGTACCATTAAACAGGGGGAGTTTCCCTTTTTGATAGTTTGGGGGAAATGATACCAGATTAATGTATGAAGGGTACGAATTTTAGTAGAGCGACACCTCTTGCATGCTTGGGACCTTTTTCTTGAGGCTATGAGCGACCATGGCATCTATATTGGTCTTGGAAACCCCTCGAGAGGCAAAGTTGTCTTGAGAAACAGGTGGGAGAACTGTGTCCTCATCGGTCGGGGAATCGGTCTCATGGTGAGAAGAAGGGGACCTGGAGGCTTCTAGGCGTTCTGTCTTCTCGAGGATGGATTGCACCATTACCTCAAATTGGTTCATCCACTCTTCTTGGGCATCATTTGGATCATTGATCACCATGACACTGACCGTCTCTTCTGGAAGGTCAGAGTCAGGTGACGCAGTGGACTGCCGAGGCTGGCGAGTCGTGCGAGGCAAGTCTGTTTTGCAAAGGTTCGGCATGCCCCAACGGGACTCGAGCCTTGTATGCCGATC